GGTCAGATCAGGGAGGGGACCAGAGAAAATTACGGAGTCCGACATTTTTTTGGCAAACTAGAACTGGAGTTATAGCTAATTATTTAACCTATTCAAAATCAAAGGTAAAATCAATTTAGTGTTCTTAATTGGATAATTGTAGCTTTAAATTATCTACTTACCGGGGTGGCGGATGCACCTCTGGAGGGTTCCTGGACCGACTGTTAAAATCCAGGTCTCCCAATCTAGTGACCCAGGTTAAGTGGCCAGCAGAGCTATTAATTATCAATAAAGAACCTCTTATCTCTGTTTATTCGCACTATTACCAAAAAGGGGTGGATCTGACCTGAGTGATAAATCCTCCGCTATATGAAAGACCATAACCACTACAAGTTAACCAAAGTCTTTATTCTAATAATTTAGGATTACAGAAAATCTAACATCTATGCAAACACTACACGCTACTAGAAAAATAAACACGAGGTAGATTAAAATTACTAGTTTAAAGAAATCGAAAATAAAGAATAAAACAAAATAGAAAACAAAAGAATAAAACCATAAGAGTCCGTTTACTGGCTTCTGAGATCATCCAAATATGCCAGATATTAATACATTCTCTAATGTCCGTTAGCAGCAGGTATGATGATAACAGTGCAATTAATCATAAAATTAATACATCCAGCTTAAAAACTGGTAAATGATTAAAAATGCATTAACAAATAGCAGCAGAAGTCGTTTAGCAAAACACATTAACAAACAGTGTACCTGTTTGTGAGAAGGGCATGTAATTAAATGAGGGACCCCCCTTTTTCATGTGGTGAGAGGAACAAAGAAAAAAAGGGGGGGCAGTCTTTAATCAAGATGGCCCCAACCACGTGGCCCACGTGGTTGAATGTGGTAATTCTATAACTATATTAAAGTAGAAACAAAAGAAGATAGGAAAGGAAAGAAAAAAGGGAAAGAAATATCACTTGCAGTTTCACAGCACACTTACTTCAACCAAATGAACCAACTCTTATAACCAGCACAGATTAAAAAGCAGCATTAATTAAAATCCCTGAATCTACCTGTCTCTCTCGCCGAGCGCAGCACCTCATTAATGCATCAAAAAGGAAAGGAAATTGATTTACTGTGAGTTGCCTTTGGTCCGTAAAGGAGTGGGGTTTCCAAGGGAACCGTGGCCTGGGTTTTCGGCAGAGTTTTCGGCACCAGGTCCACCCTCGGGAAAGTTCAGTCAGTTCGGTGCTACAGCAGAGGGCTCAATGTGCTCTCAAGTCATGGAGGATGAATTTTGCTGAAATGATCGGCGAGGAGCGTCCTCCTCGGCCGGTCCGTACAAAAAGGGGAAAGATGCACATAGCGGCTCCCCAGTTGGCGCAGCCGCTATGCACGATGGAACACTGCGATCCGTGACTTTTGACACAGGAAAAACGAAAGCTACAACCAGTCAGCTTTCTTCTGGTATTTCACGTGAAATTAGCCTCTCCTGACGGGCTTTGAAAACCCATGGACAAAGAGGAAAAATGGAGTCCGCGCTCTGGGTTTTAAACCACGAGTAACGTGGGGGCACTTCCTGTTGGAGTATCAGCTGATTGGTCTGTGATTAAGGGGACCGCCTCCCACCGTGGGTCGGTACAGTGGTCTTCCGGAAATCCTTTGTTCTTTCTTTGTGGCGGGAATCCATTATTGTTCTTAGTGGAAAAGAAAAGGGGGATGGTTTCAGATGGCTCACCCAACTGGTTTAGCTCCATTTTGGCAATATATCCCAACAACAGGCAGGCGGTCAGAATCGTGAGGACGAACGTGAGCAGGATAAACAGTAAAAGACGAGGTAGGGGACATGGTAGATGGTCAAAGGCAGGAGATCAGAGAGACGGTGAGGTGCGAGAGGACAATCCAGGACAGAGTCGGGTCATAGTTCCAGGTACGATTCACAGAGCAGCAGACAGGCTGGATGACGGCAGGCTGGAAACAAATCCGGTCGGTACTCAGCGGGCAGAGATAAGGAGATAGTCAGGTTAGGTGGAAATCAGAAGACAGG